ACTTGATCTCAGTGAGATGATGACTCTGATTGCCGCGGGTTAAAGCTCTGTGCTTTGGGCACCGGTTTATTGAAGTCTGCTAAAGTTTAATGCATCATCAGCTGGTATAGAGAACCGTTTTAAGGGCAACCCAACCAAACAAGTACAGGTTATCTTCTTGCAGCCTTTCCCATAGTAATCCTTTTATAACTCCTCATTGCTGGCTCTCCGAACTGATTGACAATCAGTTGACTTAGGAATCAGATGAAAAATAATTGAAAGGGAGATTTGGAGAAGAGTTTGAGGACCCATTCACACCCAAATCTAAACCCAAAAGCAAAAATTTAATATATTGCAACTCCTCAATTCTTTTTTTTTTAGTAGGCATTTTTTCCTTTCTTTTCACCTGGTACCAGGCCAGTAAATCTGTTATTTTTCAACTTTCAGCAAAAGTGGCAGATAGAGAATTGCATAACCATCTAGTCCTTTCAGGCTGATGCAAATGCTATCATCTTTACTTTGTCACAATTGTATGTCTATTTTATATGTGAATTTTTTTTTTTTTCATTAAAAACTTACTATACAAAAAAAAAGTGGCAGATAGAGGATTGAGACAAACCTTTTAACACTGACAAGTGGTCAGCTTTTATTGTGTTATGTAAAACCTTTATTCCAAGAAAAAAAACCTGTTGCTCTGCTTAAACAGTGTTATCTGGCTTTAGTATGTTCGTCAAGTCCATCCATGTAGAGCCACCCTAAGACTGCAAGTGTTTTACTGGCTAGGTCACCAGCCAGGTGAGAATAAAGTAGTTTAGGTATGCTTAAAGCATGTGTTTTTTTTTCACATTGCTGCACATTGCCCATTCACTTTCACAGGGCTATTAGGCCCCATTCACATACGAATCGGCCTGCACGTACAACTCCGTGCTGTGTGCGGGGTCGTACCAAGCAGCTGCCAGGAACGACAGGTGCTTCGTGTGATTAGTACGCAGCCCCCGTCCTTATCTATGGGGCTGCGCGGCCGTACGCCCCTCTACGCTGGCCCGCCCTGCACGTCTGTAGGGGTGCGGGTGAGCACCCCTATGGACCTGCAGTTGAGGTGAGCATAGGGGGGCGTACGGCTGCGTAGCCCCATAGAGAAGGACGGGGGCTGCGTACTAATCACACGAAGCACCTGTCCTTCCCGGCATCCCGGCAGCTGCTTAGTACAGCCCCGCACACAGCACGGAGAGGTACGGACAGGCCAATTTGTGTGTGAATGGGGCCTTAATGTCCTTCCACTGGACAAAAAACATATCATCGCTATTTTTTTTATATTTATATTGAGAGGCAGGTGTTTACTCTATTTTTAGCTGTTAGGGTTTTGTGGAAATAGATTGCATCGTACAATAATGCTACCTGTGCACATGTGTAACAGGTGCATAAGGGTAAATGGGCCCTAAAGGAAACCTGTATTGAGATAAATATGATGGCTGCCATTGTTCTATTGTAGGTGCCTGGCTGTGTGTGTGTGTAGTGTATGTATGTATGTATGTATGTTATATATATATATATATATATATCAGAGAGAGAGAGAGATGTATATATAATGTGTGTGTTTATATTTCTGTTTTATTAGTCAGGTAAATATGACATTTTCTTTATTAACATAATGTAGTCTTCTATCCATCCAGAAGATGGAAGGTTTGGCTATTGTTTTATGTTTTTCCTCTTTTTTTACAGGGCTCAGTAGCCCAAGCTAACATTTACATTAAAAATAAATGAGTTAAATTGGAACTTTACACCCAAAAATCAAATTCTACCAATGCATCCCTCTATGTATGATGATTAATAATAGCTTAGACATGTCAGGTGTAATATGCTGTGATTATGAAATACTTACACTTCCAGAGCATTCACTTCCTGCTTTGAAAGGGCAAAATGAGTTCAGTATGGCAAACCAATGCACACATTGGAATGCCTTGCCTAGAGTATTGCTGGGAAATCTCATCTGTAATCTCACGAGATCTCAGGGAAAGGCATTTTCTTCCTCTGAGATTATGTACATGGGTCACATGTGCCAGAAATCAGGAAGTTAAAGGAGATCTAGTAATCTGCCCTTATTAAACATGGCCACTAGCAGAAGACTGGGGAAGAAAAGTAAATAAGGTATGCAAAGTATATAAAGCCAGCAATTATCTAGAAGTATGTGTTTGTAGATTGTCATTACTAAACATTTCTAAAGGTGTGTTTGTTGTTATTTTAAAGATATGGGTAAAAGTCCACTTTAAAGCAGTGACTCCCTCATTATCCAGTAACTTTATCAAGGTTTCAGTTAGACAAAGCCAGGCCACAGGCAGGCAGCCACTGCTCTTTTATCCTGTTAGATAACCCATAGTACTCTAGGAATTATTTGTCATGTATTAAATGTTTTCATGAAACGAAAACATCAAATGTTTGTAAAACAAAGATTGTATACCTATAGCTAAAAGAAGATAAAACAAACAACCAGAACCAGTACAGTTTCCCTTTATTCCTCATTTCCCTAGATAAATGTTCTTGCTGCCTGGGGTCTGTTGGTAAGATTGTCTTCAGTTTTTGTTTTGTGTTCCGCTAGCCAAATAGGACGGAAGTAGGGGGGAACCTCACTAATGGAGGCACAGACATAAATAAATGTTCACGGAGGATCAAATCCTTCAGTTCTCTTCAAAAATTAAAAAAAGTGCAAGTACACTCTGCTCCACCCTCCACACATTTCTATTGGCCCATCATTAGCATGGTCCACCTCAATGGCCAATATCAGGAGGCAGTAAAAGGTGAGAAGTCTCTGATGCTACCAAGAAGTGCCATAGTGCTTTGCCCGTCATCCAGAAATTTGACTGTAGCAGCTGGAGGCGGCAGCAGGTTTGTGCAGCTAGGTAGGTACCCGCAAGTTATACCCGAGGGCAGTTTTTTTTTTTATTGTTTAGCAATAGAGTGACTTTAAAGCCCATCTACAAATCCTCATTATCTAATAACAATAACAACATTATGTTATTTTTATTTGTCTTCAAAGAAGCTTACAGTCTTAAATTGTTTTTTTTTATTTGTTTATATCTGGAAATTAGACCCAATGCAAGTTCTGTTATTTGTTTTAGTATAGAATCATATATTTAATGAAAACAAATTGAATCTAATATGAGTATATACGTTGTTTCTATTTCTCTAGAATGTTATATTTGCCCTTATTAGTATGTACTTTCATATCTCCCCAAAGTAAGTTGTTCAGAAGCAGATGTCTTCATTTATCAACCAAAACATGTATGTCTGCAAGCCACAGGAGAAGAGGATTTGTCAATGTCGAGCAGTAAACATGAGCAAAACCAGATTTACCAGAGAATAAATCCCTATCGGTCTTGGGAGACCTTTTACTTAAATAATTCACTGCCTCTTGTTTTACGGTTATATTACTATTGTAAGTAAGCCACTCAGCATGTCTTCCAATTATAGCTTTGCCTGTTCACATTGTACCAAAGAACTACAAAGCTGGAAGAGTATAAATATTATATATAGTACTGTATGTATAAAATATGTAACAATATCCAAAAGAAAAAAACAATGGCATACATGAAACAGTAAAAAACTAAAATAGTGTACAGATATTGAATATCATACAGTATAACAAATCTATTTATAGAAAGGGCACAACCTGCAATAATAAACATTCATAATGTTAGGTAAATCTTAAAAAGTAAGTCCACTCAGAAGTGATATTTTAGTTATGGAAACTATGGGGGCTGATTTCCACTCATCCTCATAGTTAGAGCCGACCTGTGTCAAAGAAGCTTTCACAGGTCGGCTCTTTTGATCGCGAAGTTAGCAGAACCATGCACCGCTCCACTCACTTCCGATCATCTTCCTGCAGAGCCAGCTGTCCCTCACGCAGCTGGGTGGATCCAGACAATATTGTCGGGATCCGTCCCGGCTGTGGCGGTCTCAGTATATCGCTGGCAATAGCAAAGCCTATAGACACAATAACAATCCTGTCACTGGCGACAACTTTCCAGCAATGTCAAATCCTAACGACAACAAGGATAGTGTTTCTCCATAATAATCTGTCTTCTGTTTGAGTCGTAAAGAGGACCTACACTCCCAGGGTTTTCCAACCCCCACTTACCTTGGGTGCTGGATTGAGCTCAAATAGCATACTTACGCAACCAGTGAATCCAGAGTTGTCCAATGCACGCTCGATCCCTTGCCATCATCTTTCTTTCTGATGTCATCGGGAGCCAGCTGTCTCTCCTGGGTTCTTGTAGCTAGTCCCTGATGACTTGCTCTCCTGGGATATCTGACTTGGATTTTTCAGGTGGCTGTTGATGTCCAATATACATAATTCTCACCTAGGCGAAAATGGGGGGCAGGGGACAGGCCGGAGTGAAGAATTAAAAAGTAAAAAGTCAGCTTTTTAGGTTGCTGAGGCGGGGAGGGTTGTCAATGTGGTAAAATGCTTTAAGTCTTTGCAACGGAATGTTCATAATTTTTTTATGTATTTATCTAGCTTATTGCTTGTCCTCTTCTTTTTTTCCCTTCAACTTTTCCATGCTTTATTGATTTTTGTAGCAATCTCATAATATGGCCTCACATGTATATATTCTATGTTATCATAATATTTCCAAATGTATATACTCGATATGTTTACATTTATATACTCCATCTTCTCATTATATAACCAGTCTTATCAGGTGAATATCCACATTTGTTCATATAAGGGGAGGGATATTCCTAGAACATTGTCAATGTGATCATAGAAAGCTAGATCAGGCAATGTATTTATGTATGCACCCTGCGTGCCAACCATGATAAGGTTCCTCTTCTGATGCCTGATTGTTAGTTTCTCGTTAATGGATGTTTTATCATTCAAGCAAGTGCCATGGACCCGTATATGCAATGTGATTACAATGTTATACACAATTATACCAGGCCTAGAAGTATTCAGTTACTTAGAAATATGGAAAAATATTTTAAGTGATTTTGAACTGAACTTGTGATTTAACCTTTTCTAGGTTCCAATCTGATCACCGAGCTTCAGCCAACTGGGAAGATATCCATTCTCGTGTAAAAAATATATTAAAGACGCACAGTGCTCGACAAAGGCTTGTTTTTGTGAGTATCACTAATCTGCTGTATTATCGTATGTAAAGAATATGCAATGGGAAAAAAATTATAGTCGCAAAGATGGCATAATATTACATCTTCAACAGGTCTTTTGTGAAACTGCACACATTGCATATGTTGTAGGGCTAGAAACTAAGAAATGCAAGTAGGTATGTTTAGAAGAATGTGTAATAACAGTCACTTGTCGCCTTATCATTCATTTCAACAAAAATGTTCTCATAAGGTTATATGTGCATTTATACTTGTAAAAACCTCACTTATGTAGACATCCAAAAGCCCTGAGACTTCTGGTAAGTGCTGCCACCTTGGATGTGATATCAGTAGCCCCAATGTGTAGTACTTCCCTATTCTGCTCCCCATGCAGCTGCTTGAAAGTTTATGTAGGCAGGGGAAGGGAAGCTGTGCCAGCTCAGAGAGTAAGTAGACAATCCCAAAAGAGGGGAGGGCTCTGACTTGCAGGGAGGGAGGGGTCTGTGCTAGGGAATTGGCACTTTCTGGAGTAGTCAAATATTCTAGCAAGTTCAAAGGTACATTGCAAGTCAATAAAAAAAAATGATTTATGGAAAAGAAAAACAAATGCGCATTTAAAATGCTTGATGTTTCTGTGCTTTTATGTGCAATGTTTTAATTTGGTGATAGGGTCTCTTTAAATGTGTAAATATTTTAGGAGCTTTTTTTCCTTATCCTGTCCGGAACTCCCAATTGAGAACAGTGCCAACTCCTATTTATAAACCTGCTGCCTAAAATAGGACAGGTTGAGGAGAGAGGTGAAGGGTCTAATCACACTTCTGCGGTTCTCTGCAGTAATCTCACAGCAGGGGATCAGCAGCTCAGGTCTAATATCCATCTTAGTCAATTGCTGTAGTTCATATTGCAGTAAAATCACAATTCATTTTTAGAAAATCCTTCCTGCTACATTTTGATACATTTATCTGAAAGTCACCTATCTGTCGGAAGTAATTAAAAGGTATGCATAGTGTGTTTTTTGCATTTGTTTTTAAACATGAAATCCATACCTCCCAACTTTCTGAGCTGAGACAGAGGGACACCTTTTAGAACAAGCTATGTATTCCAGGGATGTACCCCTGACACCCCCAGTTATTCGAGCAAGAAGAATTTATATGCAAAAAATAATTGTTTGAAGTCACATGTTCTTTTCTTCACTACTACCTTTCCTTTATAAATAGAAGCAAATATTCAGTCCTACAATGGACATGCTCAACGATCCAAATTGGAATACACTCAACACTAGTTGTTTTACAATGTCTAATAGGATTTCAAGTCTTTCCCTGTTTGCAAACGAAAAATGATATCCTTAGAGCTAGCAATTGTAGTACCAGGATACACACGCATCCTGGAAATATTAGAAATGACTGGATGGTACACAGTGGCTCCACAGGAATGCTGGGGATATTTTTAAATGTTTTTATGGAGGGGGGTTTATGCTATGTTTTTCATATCTTGATTTATTTTTGGAGTACAATAAAATGTGTGATCATTTTTCATACATATGTGGCGAGACTTTTGTGGGTTTGAGTACCACTGGTATTGGAAGTCTGAACATTTGCTTCTATTTATAATTGTCAAACAGTGGACTATTCCCTTATTCCTCTTGAAGTACTATATTTAAAGGGTTATTAAACCCTTGCGTGTTTTTGCATATATCTACTGTTAGCAAGCTTGACTTAGGGTCAAAGTGGTGGGAAGAATTTGTCTTTTTATAAAAAAAATTGTTATTCTTGTTCCTCTCTGTGTCATCTCAAAAAGTTTTCACCTTTACGACTAATAACTTTGTTAATTCTCAATGTACTATGTGCATGTTGAACTGTTGTGCGTTTAATTTTTATTAAAAAAAGAAAAGAAAGAAAAAAAATTCAAATGGAGAGTGTCAGATATTTGACGCAGGGGTGTCAGAGCTTCCTGCTGAATAAAAAGAAAAGTGAAGGAATCGAGTGGAACAGAGAGAGCCTGGTAATTACAGCTAACCAGTACAAATGATCAGATGTCTAACAAGAACATATTAGCATGAGAGCTCGCTGAGCTTTGAAATTTGATTCTGATGTTCCGTTTTACAAATGTTCTACTGCCACGGGAGTTTAAAGGCATGAGCGCTGAATGGCAAGCGCCAGTGATTTCCAAGGCCCTCCGTAGAGTCTCTGAAATTTATAACCCACAGGAATTTTCCTTCCTGCTCTCCATTCGGCAGCATTTAATTAAAAATATTCATCAATTTGTGGCTCATTACTCCACATTGCTCTTTATTCTCTCGCTGGCTTTTTTTTTTCTATAAAATTCACTGTAAATGCTCAGTGTTTGTGTGAAGGACAGAGAACATTATTCACAGGGGCATAAGCGATAGAAAAACTTATCGCTAATGTTAGGTTTGTTGGGAAACGCAACTTTTTACCTACAGTCATTGATGGCGACCATTTTGTTCCCTGGAGACATAATTATAACGGTGCAAACATGTTTGTAGTAACATAAATTGATATATATCTAAAGGCTTCAAGATTTTGTCAGAACCGTTTTTGTTTAGATTTACTGGTCCTCTAAAGTCAATGTCAGCCATTTTAAACTTTTACAGTAAAAGTCCTGCATACAGTAAGTGCCACAAAGTAACTGCTATTAGCTGTTTTAGACAAAAAAGCTTCTTTGTTTCACTAGGTTGATCCTTAAAGCAGACCTTTACCCATATCTGTAAAAGAACAACAAACACACCTTTAGAAATGTTTAGTAATGACAATCTACAAACACATACCTTTAGATAATTGCCGGCTTTGTATTCCTTATTTTTCTTTTCTTCCCCAGTCTTCTGATAGTGGCCATGTTAACTAAGTGCAGATTACCAGCTCTCCTTTCACTTCCTGAATTTCTGGCACATGTGACTAGGACATGTAACCAGGCACATCATCTCAGGGGAGGAAATTGCCTTTCCCTGAGATCTCGTGAGATTACAGATGAGATTTCCCAGCAATGCTATGCTGATGACAAGGCATTGCCAGCATGCATTGCTTTGGCAAAGTGAAGTTATTTGCACTTTCAAAGCAGGAAGTGAATGCTTTGCCAGTGTAAGTATTTCAAAATCACAGCATTTTACACCTGACATGTCTTTGTTATTATTAATCATCATACATAGAGGAATGCATTGGTAGAATTTGATTTCTGAGTGTAAAGGTCCGCTTTAATTGGGCCTGTGAACGCAGGCTTTTTTTTTAAACATCAGAACTACTTTTTGGTTCATGCAAGCCACCAGTGGGAATGCCAAAGAAGCATGAAGCTGCTGGATACAGCTTAGAAAGAGGTCCTAAACTGATCTTATAAACAGGCTAAATGCACCTATAAGAATGCTGCATTTGACTGTACATAAGCCCTTTTCCTTTTTTTTTTCTTTTTGCACAGTGCTTACCATTCCTGATTGTTGGGCTAAGTTCCACCCACTGGCATCCTTTTCAGTGAGGGTACCCTAATTTGGCAAAGGAGCTGATTGAAACTTGAATAGTAGAGGTCTCTAGGGATGGTATGCTACCAGCTGTGTTAATATGCATGCAAATACCTCTATAGAGTCCAGTTTGCTGTTTCCCCTGCTGCTAATATGCTTGTAACTCTTTTGTTTTGGATAAAATGAGAAAGGGTTGAAACCTCTGCCCACTTTTTTGCTGTCTATGTCCCAGCTTGAGGGATTGGAGAGAATCTCTCCAACTAATTAATACAATTTTTTTTTTTTAGGTTGGAGATTGGTTAGAACCACTGTCAGGTCTTTATTACTATCTGTGTCTCTGTTATTGAGATTTCCTAATTTTCTCCTAGTGGCCACGATTAGGTACACCTGTCTGGTACTCCGGAGGACCCCATCAGAACACCCTGAATTATTTGCAGTATGCAGACAGCAGAGTGTTGGAAACATCCTTTACATAATTATGCTTTTTACTGACATGAGAGCACAGTTCTGGTATATTTATCAGTTGAATATTCATCCTATGAACTTCCTGATCCACCTTGACCCTAAAGATTTGTGCTGTGAATGCCTTTTTCTGAACTTATCATGTGTGCGTCACATAAAGATAACATTTGTGCAACCAGGCAAGGTTTCTATCATTTTCAATTATCCAGGTTTGGTGAACTCTTGTAATACTATTCTTTTGCTTTGTGTGAGACAGCATGGTCTCCTGACGCTTTAGCAAAAGACCATATCAAGATGTTCTGTATTGACAAATGCCCTTTTGTACGCCACTATTGTAAAGAACAGCTATGAATTTCTTGTCAACTTGAACACATCTGACCAATGTCCCCTGACCCCTTTCATTAACCCAAAGAACAGACAGTCACTGTTTTTTTTTTTTCCTTTCATACCATAGTTTAAACTAGATGTTTTTTTCACACCATTCTCTGAAAACTCTAAAGACTGTAGAGCTTGAAAATCCAAGGTCAGCAGTTGCTAAGATTCCTCAACTAGTGATGGGCTTGGGCGTGTTCGCAGCTCCATGTGCCGAGCCCGCCAGGAAGCTGACAGCGCGAAGCACCAATCACAGGTACTGAGACATTTCCTGATCTCTGCAGCTGCGGACCAGGAACATGTCTCAGTACCTGTGATTGGCGCCGTCAGCTTCCTGGCAGGCTAGGCACGTGGAGCTGCGAACACGCCCAAGCCCACCGCTATCCTCAACCACCATATCTGGCTCCAACTGTCGAAGTAACTGAATTTACCCATCTTACCCATTTTGATATTTGGTGGAAACTAGTGGACCTCTTGACCAAGTCTTCATAGTTTATATTTGAGCTTCATCCAAAGAAAAACTACCTCATGAATTGATATAAATGCTCATAATAATTACAATGCTACTGCATACAAAAAATTGATTCTATCTCTCTGACGTGTGAAGGAAACCACAACTCTTTGGAGTCAGCTGCATAAAAAGTCAGAAAGAGCAAAGAAAGATTCAGCCAATCCAGCCTTGCAGCTCTAAGCAGTACAAAGAGGAGCATTCCTGAAACTCTAAGGCTGGGCTCACACCTGGGCGTTTTTCAGCGCTGATCGAAGCGCTGAAAAACGCTCAGCAAGTGAAATCCTATAATTTCCTATGGGCATGGTTCCCACCTGGGCGTATTCCGACGCGCTGAAAAACGTCCTACGCCCAAACAAGTACAGGAGCATCTTTTGGGGCGTATTTCCGCATGTATCCATTAGGATACAGCCAGATACCTTTCGTAAACGCACGTTTAATGTGCGTTTCGTGGACCGCAAATTGAGGTAAAATGCACGGCCCGAAATTTGCGTCATACGCGCATATTACGAACGCCCAAGTGTGAACCCAATGTAAGAAGATAACAGGAAAGCGCTCACCAGTATACAGTATATCAATCCTCTAATATTCAAGAAGATTGCTACCCCATGCTGGTGCTCTTTCCTGTTCCCTTTTGAGCAGCATCCACCTGATTTTCTGTATGGATTAATGAGCAGGGAATAAAGCGGCCATAGACTGTATAGATTCGCCAGTGGTTTTAAATGCTTCTACAGTCTGTTTATATGAGCTACCTGCTTATTTTCCTTTTTATTAATTGCATACATTAATTCAAAGTCACCAAAATAATTTCATATTTTGCAGGCTCCAGTTGTTTGTAAGACTAATCATTTCCCAGCCCTATTTAAAGTGGTTAAATTACCCAACACCACTGACAGGCATTCATTATTTCCTAATTAAAATTTAATGACACGTATATTATCCTTCATATTAGTTAGAGAGCTAATTAATGTTAATCCTTGGACAGAGACACAAAGGACTTTTAAAGCCTCTATCTAGCAAGGGATCTGTATGTAACGTTTCTGTTTAACACTTGTATTCCTTAAATGAGATCTCATTAAAGGGGAACTACACTGCTATACATTTTGAGATATACATGTTCAAAATATCGACTTAAAATGCAAGGTGTGCTTATCTTTTAGATTCCATCCCCTATGTTACAAAAGTAGAGATAAGTCAGATATACACACTTCTATTTTCTTTGTTCAACCTGCTGGCTGAATGAAGAAAATAGAACAGATTCCTCCAACGCTTACGAGTGTTGATCAAGGAATCTCCTGCTGTTTCCTTTGTATTCTGACAGCGACTGCCGCTGTGTGAGTTTTATTTCAATATTTGTGTGGCTAGGATTGGATTTAAGATTCCAGCACAAAATATAGGTTATATATCCTTATTTTCAGGCAAACATTTACAGGGACACTTCCTTAACCTCCTGCATTGTCCATATAAATCAGGAAAAATTTCAATGTGTTTTACCACTGATGATTATTATTTTGCTGTACTAGGACAAGACTGACACTTGGAAGGAGCCCCATAGTAGTATAGGAAACAGAACGTCACCTTACCCAAAAGAACAGCAAGAGAGGTAAGACTAAAGTATTGTATGGATACTGTTATATTAAAGTGTATCTAATACCAAAAAAACGTTTCTTTCTAGTCCATTGAGGGTCAGATGAAATCAATAACTGCCAGGTTATACTGCCACATACAGTAGTGGACAAAATATTGTAGGCCAGTGTAGCATATCCCCTCCGAGCATGCATTTGTTTTTTTGCTAGTGTTTTAGAAGGATGGTCGTCTTTTCTTTAGTTTTGTTGGGAAAAGTCTATCTAATTTTTTACTAGCTTTTTTTCAATCATCATTATGTCAAGTCAGGATTATGTGCAACATCTTTGCTTGTGCTGGTCTTTGTATGGCAGCTATCTGGACCCGGCTTTCCTCCTGAACTGGATGTTGCAGGGCTAGCCTGGAAGAGACCTTTGTGCACTAGGTTGCACTGTAATTACTTTACAGACTCAGTTGAAATTAACAGACCTGCTGGCTTGTCTCCAAAGATTCACTAAAATATTGGAATACTGAATCTGCATCTAAAAAGCATTTGCTTCACCTGACCGTTGAGATACAACATCAAAACCCAAGCCGAGCTTTCAGGCCTCCCTATGTACTAAACTTCAAGCCTGCCAAACCCTCAGACAACTCATCTTCAGTATGAAGGTGCACCCAATTTTCCAAAGTTTTTTTCCAATTTTTCTAGCGAGTGTTTTGAAACAGGGTGTCTTTGCAGCAGAACATTTCAGGAGATCTATTGCAACCTGTTCACAGTTCCCAAACCAAAAGAGGGCATTCACCCCATCTTGGATCTCAAAGCCCTAAATGTTTTCATTAGCCTCCCTCCATCAGAGAGATTTTCTGGCATCTGCAGACATTAGGGACGTGTAATTAAAATGTTCCACTTTTTCCAGTGCACCAGTGATTTCTATCCTTTTGTGTGGTTCCTCTGCATTTTCAGTTTGTGGGTCTGCCATTGGCCAAACTTCTGGCTTGGTGGCTCAAGGAATCCAGCTCTTGAGTTAGGGAATTCCTTCTTCCCTGTCTTTTAGGAAGATTATCATGATGGATGCCAGCCTGTCATGCAGGGAAGAAAGCCTGTGCACCTTGTCCATGCAGAGGAGACTTGGACGTTAGTGCAATTTCATTTTTGATCAACATTCTAGAACTCCAGGCAATTTGGTGGTCCCGCAGCACTGGACCATATGGTTCTAGGGTCACTCATTGGTTTATCATTACACAGGCTATCCCCCCTTCAGTCTTTCATGAATGCTGCTGCTAGACTCATCCACCTAACCAACCGCTCAGTGACTGTAACCCCCTCTGTCAATCCGTCCACTGGCTTCCAATCGCCCAAAGGATACAATTCAAAATATTAACAACCATTTACAAAGCCATCCACATCTCTGCCCCCGGATATATCTCAAACTTTGTCACAAAGTATCACCCTAACCGTCCCCACCGCTCCTCCCAAGACCCCCTGCTTTCCAGCACCTTTGTCAACTCCTCCCATGCTCACCTCAAGGACTTCTCTAGAGTCTCTCCCACAGAGGCGGCTCTAGAGTTTGTGAGGCCTTAGGCAAAACCTAAACATGAGGCCCCACTCAGGCCTGTGGGGTCTTACCAGGGCTCTGTGGGGTTTAACCAGGCTGGTGAGACCCCACAGAGCCCTGAATAAATTAGGGCCTTGTGGGGGTCTCAGCAGGGCTCTGTGGGGTCTCATTAGGGCTCTGTGGGGTCTCGCCAGGGCTCTGTGGGGTCTAACCAGCTTGGTTAGACCCCACAGAGCCCTGGTCAAATCCCAAAGAGCCCACCAGGGTAGGGTCCCAACATGGTTCTGTGGGGTTAAACCAGGGCTGGTGAAACCCCAGAGAGCCCTGGTGAGACCCCAAAGTGCACTGGTGAGACCCCACACAGGCCCGGTTAAACCAGGACTCTGTAGGGTCTCACCAGCACCAGGGTTTTGTAGGGTCTCATCACTAGCCTGGTTAGACTCTTCAGAGCCCTGGTGAGACCCCAAAGAGCCCTAGTGAGACCTCAAGAAGCACTGGTAAAACCAGTGCTCCGCAGGGTCTCACCAGGACTCTGTAGGGTCCCACCAGGACTCCGTAAAGCTCTCTAGGGTCTCACCAGGGCTCTTTGGGGTCTCACTAGAGCATCAAGGCTCTGTGGAGCCTCACCAAGGTTCTGGGGAGTCTAACCAGCCTTGTTAGACCCACAGAGCCCCGGGCAGACCCCACAGAGCT